GCACATTTTACTTTGAGCGTCACCATGGCCACTTTGTTAAGCCTGCCCTTCTGGAAATATTTCGCAGATGAGATGACTCTGAATAGTACTTGACTTTGACTTTAAATAAGTGTCTCCCCATTTTCCTGGACGATTATTACAATGTATCCCTGTACCATGCATTTCTATGGGCTCTGCGCGAGCTGCTGTTGAACACTGGTCTAAGAGCCGGTGAAATAAAGCATAAAATCAACTATAAGACAATCCTTAAAAACCAAATTTATATATATTGTACATGTAGGGTTAAACTTGTTACACTGTTCAGGAGAGTCTCAATAACTAGCGCAAAGTTTTGGACTTGTTTTCACCAGTTGTGTTGTGAATGGATATTCACTCCTGAAAACATGAAAATCTGAGTATGAATATTACAGTAGTTATTTTATTTCACAGGAAATGAACCACTATGAATTAGGATACCGGGTACTGTAAAGTACTTTATTTTCACTTACATGTATTTTTGCTGGAAGGAAGAGTCAGTGACAATAAAATCCAGTGAAAATACCACTTTTCCCAATATTTTATGTTCAACTCGAATACAAAAAAAAATACAAAATACATTTCATAAAAACAATTAAAATGACTTTTCAGAAAAAACTTAATTCCAGCTAAAATAAAGTATTTTACAGTACTCTGTAGTCTGACATATGATTATAAATTTCACAGTGGCATATCAGCATCAGAGAATCCTTGAGAAAAATATTGATGTTCTTTAATTAAATCGCTTATGGTAGATAATGAGATAATTTATCTGTGATTCAGATGTTTTCTAAACATTACAAAGCATGCTACTATGACAACCTATATATCATCTGAAAGCTTAGATATTGGTAAACACAGTAGTGTGTATGCCATACAAAGGTTTCTCTGAGAAATGACCAATTTCCCCATCCTCGAGGGCGGAGCTAGGTCACAAGACATTCCACGTTGCTAAGACGCGCACCACTGTACTGTGCATTTCTATGGGCTCTGCGTGCGCTGCTATGGACCGCCGACCGAGGAGCCGGTGAAAAATAGTTAAATTCGAGAAAACAACACAAACTCAACTTTGAAGTAATCCCGAACAATCAAATTTATATATGTTACACACGTAGGGCTAATCTTGTTACACTGTTCAGAGGAGTCTCAACAACCATTGCAAAGTACCGAGTGACAGTTTTTGGTCTTAGTTTTCATCATGATGGTTGCCATGCGGTGAAAATGTCCGGATGTCCGCCCCCGAGAATAGGACTTTTTTGACTATTCTGACTATTGAAAACAATCACATAAATGACCTATGAATTGCATATGAAGTTTATAACACAAGATGATCATGTCTCTGTTCTTTATCTGGCCTTGATTCCACGCTATGACCAAATAAGTACAGACATACTACCGACAATTTGTTATCGAGGTGGTAAAACCAACCATGGTGAATTCTGGGAGATCATATTCAAAAAACCCTGTTGCCCCTGGCAACTTCTGATCTCTTGACTCGCTGAAAACACAAACCATACACATACATTCAGTACATTTTTGCTAAATTAGAAATCATATTTTTAGCTCCGCTGTCGACTTTGTCGAGCAGAGCTTATCATATGAGTGATTGTACGTCGTCGTTCATGTCAATGTTTTACTTTTTCGACTTCTTCTTGAAAACTACAAGCCTGAATGCTTTGATACTTGGTGTACATGTACCTTGGGTAGACCTCTCTCAGATTTGTTCATTTCATGATCATATCTTCAATTCTCTAATTTTGGTGAATATTTTTTGTCATTTTTGGTAAAAAGTGATATTTTCGATTTTTTGTTAAAAACCGCAAATCCAATTGCTTTGATATTACATATTTAGGTACTACATGTGGATCTCTCTCAGATTTGTTCATTTTGTAATGATATCTTCAATTCTTTAATTTTGGTGAATATTTTTGTCATTTTTGGTAAAAAGTGATATTTTCGACTTCTTGTTAAAAACCGCAAGTCGAATTGCTTGATATTACATATATAGGTACTACATGTGGATCTCTCTCAGATTTGTTCATTTTGTAATGATATCTTCAATTCTCTAATTTTTGGTGAATACTTTTGTCATTTTTGGTAAAAAGTGATATTTTCAACTTCATGTTAAAAACCACAAGTCCAATTGCTTTGATATTACATATATAGGTACTACATGTGGACCTCTCTCAGATTTGTTCATTTTGTATTGATATCTTTAATTCTCTAATTTTGGTGAATATTTTTGTCATTT